GTGACTTTGGTTAAAAATCATTCCACAGAAGTTATCTGCATGATTCTAAATCACATCCATTATATATAGTCATTCAATATGTAATAACTTGTCTTTTACGCTTATATCACTCCCCTCTTCACGTACCTGCAATAATGTAGTTAAGAAAGGTATATAATACCATGTTTTCTGCGAAACGTCTTAACAGTAAAGATCTGAATACCAAAAAAATAAAAAGTTTTTTACAATGTGGATTGATAAGCAACTTCGAGTCTTGATCGATGACCGTAAAGAAAATAATGAATTATTTCATGAATTAGTTAGTAATGGAAAGAGAATTTTCTGAAAGAAAGTTTCCACAAAGATCAACCTTCGGTTTGGAACGTCTTATACTGATGCACATTATAGGAAAAAGTTTGAGAGTCTTAAACATGATTGTAAAGTAAATTCTTGTCTTGTACCTTTTTTTAGAAAATATTCTCATATATTATCCAAAATCATGAACTAATTCATCTTTATGGGAATTAGCGTATGAAAGATTATATTGATTGTAAAGATAAGGGAAAGAATACCAAGAATAGTCTGAAGTATTATGAATTTAAATCAGAGTTTTGGAAAAATCCTGGTAAATATGATTTAACTCTCTCATCATTTTTTTATGTTCAGAAAAAAATATATAGACTGTAGGTAACTAATCAAAAATTTTTACTTTTCTCTAGTATAGGAATACGATTGGCTTTGCGAACAAAGTATTGTAAGAAGAAACCAATCCTCACCACCACCGTATGAAGAAAGTAATAGTTCTAATTCACAACCGCAATTGTAGTTATAGTTAAGTATTATAGCTGAATATTATTGTTAGATGATTAGTAATTTACTATCCGTAAATTTGATAATGTAAAAGTATTTGTATTGCTAGAATCCGATTAATAAAATTATTGACATAAGCATCTTTATTCGCATCTCTTGATTTTTTATGATAATAATATTGCTATGGATAAAATTTTGCATGCAAACATTTTTTTGTGCAAAATTATATCTTATAAAATGTTCCATTCTGATTATAAATATATTACTGATAGACTTCCAGATAACCTAGTCAAAAGAGCATATCAAAGTCTTTTAAATCACTCTAAAAACCCTGTTCCATTAGAAATGATTTCTGAGAAGTCTGGTCAAATTGAGTCATATCTAAAGCATAAATTAGAAGTATATGAGAATTCGTTAAATAGAAAATGCAAAACTATGACTCAGAAAAAAACATTGCATCCCCGAGTTAGCCAGAATGTAATGCATTCCTAGCATCACCGGCTATATACATTGTAGAAAGAGAAGTTCAAACTAACAATATCACTTATGATCATGAGAAAGAGAATAATCGCCAGGTTATGAATGAACTTAAAGTATTATCCCAGCACCTAGTTGATTATAATAAAAGAATTTTTGAGAAATTCATGCAAGACATCGAAAAAGATTATAGAGAGCAGGTTAATGCAAATAAGAAAATACGCTATGAGATCAAAGATCTGAAGATGCAAATGCAGGAGGTGGAAAAAAAGCTGACATTTATAAAGTCAGATTCTATTCATTAGTTGGAATACTTTTTTCCTTGTACTTCTGCAAAGTAAGATCCTGGTCATCTATATAAATTGATCTAAGGGCTTCTACCATTTCTTTTATAATCACGAAAAAAGAATGTCATTTCGCAGACCTCATCCAAGGCAGAAAAGAATATGTGAAGAATATAAAGCTGAGCTGGAGGAGAAGAACTACCATCTTCATAGTGAATTGCAAACAGAAGTTGATAGTAATCGTCAGAATGAAAGAAATCCAAACCCTTAATAGGGAGATAGAATGTCTTGAGAATGCTTCGAAAGAAGAGATAGTAGAATTGAAGTCTGAAATCTCCAGTCTAAAAAATCGGCTATATCAAGCTAAAAAGGATATACGGGATAAGGAAAACTATATCTCTGATTTAGGAAAGGCTTAGAAGAATCTGAAGAGCAAGTTGAGAAATTGCAATGCTGAATCAAGACCATCTCATCATGAAAAATACACCTGAACGAGGGAATTTTCCAGACTTGTATAATTCCGATGATAATATGGCTACAATCATAGAACTAGCAAATGCTATAGATAGTTTGTTGATAATAGAGCAACGCATATAGATATTCTTATAAATCAAATAAAAGGGACAACAAGGCAGATTCGTCGAAAAGAAAATAATTTGTATTAGGATATAATTCGGGAACAGAAAAGACATTATGATGCAGAAGCTGAGCGTGATAATAAAATTATATGAAGGCAACTTGCTGAAGGGATAGAACAAAGGCTATTGGTGATCTTCATCAATTGCGAACTAATAGCTGAAATCAGGTTAATAGAATGTTAGATAGGGTGATAAAAAAATAAAACTGTATAGGTAAACTGATACAAAAAAAATTTGCCTTACAATTATTATATCAGCGAAATGTTCATCACCTTCAGCATTGTAGAGGGGATATAGGCTTATTAGAATATAATTGAGACAGACTTTATGAGCGATATGGAAAATGGAAAAATAAGACTCAAGTAGAATGCCAGAATATTTTAAATTTGCAGGGACAAATTTTAGCATTACAGAATAATCCACCAAATCAAATAAATATAGTAGGAATCCTACAACCATTTTTTGACTGGGTGATAATATTCCAGATTTTCTTGCAAAACTAAGATTATTTTTACAAAACCAAGATGTAGATACGGATGATAATACAGGTGGTCCACCAACAGGAAGAGAAGTAGCTATAAGATATTTAAGAGGATGTATGAAAGGAAGAACTTTAGAATAGTTCAATGATGAGATCACTACAAAACAGAATTAGGAGTTAACTAATTTACTCGATAATACAGTGCAGGCTAACTTAGTTACTGTAAATAGATGAACAGCATTACAGATAGGAGCTAATGCATTAATGAGACTGTTGGCCAACCAGGAAATGCAATTGTTAAGTTACGAGTTGTAGAAGATGCTTGGAATGAAGACTGGCGTATAGCAGGTGGCCGTCCTACTAATGATCCTGTTAATGCATCAAATACTAATGCAGGTAATACTGTAAATGTAGTTGGCATTCATTTTGGTCAAGCAGTATGGTAGTTAAAAACACATTTTCCTACAGTAGAAGAGGAACTTCAGAATTTGATGTATGAAACAATCAGAAAGGGTGACATAACTATAGATGAATTATATAGAAAAATATTACGAATAGGTAAACGAGCCAACTATAGACCTGATGAATTACGTAGAAAGTTTTTAGATGCCCTCTCACTCCCATGGCTTAAAAAAGCTGAGAATATTGGCGAACATTTACCATTACCTGAATTATCTAAAAAGCTTTATGAGATAGAATTATACAGAATTGCTAGATATAAAAGAGATAGTACAGACTCACTAGTATCTCATTAAGCATCTCAGCAAATATATGAACCCTCGCCTGTTTCAACTCCACAACAGCAAGGAATATCTTTAGAAGATATGCAAAAAGCAATTCAAAATGCATTTGCATAACAAAAAACTGAATACCAGTCTTTACTAGAAAAGCAGAAAAATGAATTCCAAGTACAGATAGTCCAATAAAGCAAGAAAACTCCTCCACCAATTCCACCTAAAAATATGGAACAGATTCTTGATATATATGAAAGTGCTAATCCCTTTATTGGAACTCTCACACTGAATAAACCAGATAAATTACATTCAGCAAGAATTGATAAATTGAAAAGCATAGTAGGTAAAGTTGCAGATACCGTAGGTAGTGTTGCTGATTCTGTGGGTCAATTAAGTAATCAATTAGGAAGGATGACACTTAATGAACAATTGCGAAAACCTTTCTACTGTGGTAATTGTGAACAGGAAGGGCATAAGAAAAATAGTTGTCCCAAGTTAAATCCTGTAGCTAAATCCAATTTTACTTAGTGTTATTATTCTTAACTTCAATCCATACAGCCCTAATACTCATCTCCCGATTCAGATGATGATGATAATGAGGAAGATGGTTATGACAAAGCAGATAATGAGTGGTATTATGCATCAGAAAAAAAAACAGTCACTAGTAAATAAAAGTTTACATGATGACTCTGCTATCCCTTCTTCTGATCTAGTAACTAGCCAACCTGAAACGTATGATCAGTTATTGTCTAAGCTCTCATCACCGATATGAAAAATGTGAAAGGTTCAGGAAGAGGAATCGAAAGAATCAGATAATATAAATGACTTAACTATTTCTGAATCTTTTTTAGATACCGGCAGTGAGTTAGGTGGTTTAAATGACCCAGCAATCAAGACGCTTGAATGGAAAGCTGATAAACCATCTAATTTTGCCATAAAGGCAATTCTAAGCATATCACTGATTCATTAGGATGGTATACAGACGTGCCAGTTACCTTGAAAGATAAAGAAGATAAAACAGTCACAGTTATTGGAAATTTTATTCGTATTGATAATGGTGAAACAGAACCAATGCTATTTTTTAATATGTCAAACATTCGAAAGGTTCAAAGCATCACTGAGTCAAATAAAAACCAGTTCCGCATAAAGTTACATGGAAAAGCATATATTATCCCAACCTTTAGCAAGGCTCCAGTAGTCAAAGATCTACCAAAAGAGGATCAGAAATCATCATGTGAAGCGTCTCATGACTCTCAGGTTTCAGCTAATTCTTTTAGCCTAACTAGTGAGGAGAACTTAAAAAAAAGTGCAAAAAGCTTGAAAAGTGCCTTATAAAGACTGAAGAAATGCTCTATTTGACCTTAAGTACTGGTAAATTTCTTGCTGATACATGTGAATCTTTATATAAGGGTGGTATTAGCTGTTAAACCCTTAAGCTTTTCACCACGATTAACTAGATTTTTGAGAAGAGAATCTAACCTGTTTTTTGGGATGTATTAGACGAATTATCAGCGAAAGAGGTTATGTCATTTTTGTTATTTTTCCCCTTATACTGCTTGCTTCAGTAACTGGCTTCTCATCTATTTTAACCTTTTTTTCAACCATTCTTTTTTGGAATCTTTGTAGCCAGAAGGGGTATAGACGATACTTCTGACACTGCTTCAAGAGTCTGTCCTGTCTGATCGGAAGAAGATAAAATAATTCCTTATTTGAGATACTCTTTATTATCCCATATTTTATAAATACGCTTAGGTCCGATATGAAATTTACTAGCTATTTTTTGTGATGCATTGGGTATCCTACCTCTGGATTCTCTAATTTTCTTAATGTCAGCTTCTGATAACAGGGTTGCTTTAACATCATAATATGTATCATGGATACAGGCTACCATCTTCACTGGATTTTTATATACTAGAAAAAAAAAATATTAATAAATATCAATGCGTATCAATATGTGCATATCAATGCTTTTCAATATGTTTTCAATGCCTACCAATATGTATTAATATATTTTCAATGCCTACCAATATGTATTAATACTCTTCAATGTTTATTAATATATTTCAATGTCCACTAATGTGTATCAATAGGCATTAAATTTGCCAATAATCATCATGGTTCAAGGTCCTGGCTGTTTTTTTTTTGCCTAAAGTAAAAAAAAATACCAATAAAATGCCTCAGATCTGTACCTTAAAAGATCTGGATAATGGTAATAAACTTGGAGATACTTCAGCAAATCAATACCCTTCTAGCCAAACGGAACTTAAAGAAGAGCTTTCTTACGCAAAAAAGACTGTGAAATAGCTATATATTGGGGAAGCCAATTTTCGAATAGCTATGATGTCTTAGATAGAGAAAACAAGTGCATGCAGGATTCTCTAAATCAAT